AATATAATATAATATAATATAATATAATATAATATAATATAATATAATATAATATAATATAAACTTCACACTAGCCCCCTTCGCAAATCTTCGTAATGTTAGGAATCTAGTTCCTGTGGGTTGGGATCTTTAGATAAAATCATGACACGTAAATGTTACATGTTAACATTTACCACATGATAATCAATATTCCAAATTGGAAACTCCAGTACAGTCACAGTTTTTTTTTTTTGTCTTTTTTCACTTCTTTTTATATAGGCTCACAGATTTCTTGTAGAAACTTGTGAATTGTTCATTTTTAAGTCAACACTTTACAGAGCAGCTTGAATTTAACTCCCCAGAATAACAGCAACTCCTTTTTAGAACTAGCTGTCAGATAGTTAGATTAGACTAAACAAATGCTAATTTAAAAATTTTCTTTTGACATGCGACAACAACAGTGGAATCTAACACATTTGATTTTGTTATATTGGATATATACAGTACGTGCCAAATCCGCCAAACCCATTGTGTAATTAAGTTATGTGTGTTTCTGTCAGAAAAACAGGTTAACATGACTGGAAAATATACATTTCATTGTTTTGTTTTCTTCCAATATACAACTTTTTAAGTTAAAAAGGTAGCATAACGTCCAGCAAAAGTACCTAAAACAACAAGACGTAAATTATTATATGTCAATTTTTATTTTTTTACTAAAATTTCCAACTTTCATCTCATCCGACAAGAACAGATAACAATAAACCATCACTTCCATAAGCTGCTGAAAATACAAATTTGTTTTTTTTCTTTTCCACACAAAGAATAAACAATTAAATACAGTATATAAAATACAAGTAGAGAAGTACAGGAGACCATTAGACAAAGCCAAAATCTCACATACAAGGGATGGTATTTGTGTTCAACAACAAAAAAACCCAGCATCAATAAAATTAAAAATAACAAAAATGTAAATCAATACTAAAGATTTTCTTTCTTTGTTTTATAAAATAATGTTAATGTGGATAAAGTAAGGACAGCAAAAACACCAAGGGAATCCCTTTACTGTGATAAATAAGAAATATATATTAATTCAAATGGGCTTTCTCTAACCTAAATGTCAAATATGGATCACAAGATTCCCTTTAAACGTTCAGTTAAGACAGACAAAGACAGAACAATAAGTGAAACAACTTTAAAAAAGCTTTGTGTCCTCAGACCTTCATAGTTTATAGCTGGTGCCTGATAGTCCAACTGGCTTCAAATCAGCTCATTCAAACCTTTTATGAAGATATGTTCAGGTTCAATAAGTTTGGGCTTATGACATGATGCCATTTCAGACATACTGCTCTTTGGGAAAAGTATACGGCCCCACTCCAGGTGGAGGAGATGACAAACCCGGTACTGAGGGGTATTTGAAGACAGCTGTTGTGTGTGTAGGAGGAGCGAAAGTGTTCTTGGATGGAGTGCTGGCACTGCTGGCACCCAGAGCAGGCATCAGTTGTGGGGATTGGTAGGGCTGCTGGGGGAGAAATGAGAGAGGAGGGTTGATGGGTGGGGAATAGGGTTCTGGATAGTCCTCCTTGTTACAGGCCAGTCTGTAGCTCACATAGTCAGCTGTGTTTGGAAGTTCCTCATAAAACCGTCCAC